AAACACCCACACTTGACGTTACTAAAACCTATAAAAACACAACCACACTTGAAATTACTGACACCCATAGAAAACACCCAAACTTGACGTTACTAAAACCTATAAAAACACAGCCACACTTGAAATTGCTAACGCCCATAGAAAACACCCACACTTGACGTTACTAAAACCTATAAAAACACAGCCACACTTGAAATTACTAACGCCCATAGAAAACACCCACACTTGACGTTACTAAAACCTATAAAAACACAGCCACACTTGATATTACTAACGCCCATAGAAAACACCCACACTTGACGTTACTAAAACCTATAAAAACACAGCCACACTTGACGTTACTAAAACCTATAAAAACACAGCCACACTTGACGTTACTAAAACCTATAAAAACACAGCCACACTTGACGTTACTAAAACCTATAAAAACACAGCCACACTTGACGTTACTAAATCCTATAAAAACACAGCCACACTTGACGTTACTAAAACCTATAAAAACACAGCCACACTTGACGTTACTAAAACCTATAAAAACACAGCCACACTTGACGTTACTAAAACCTATAAAAACACAGCCACACTTGACGTTACTAAAACCTATAAAAACACAGCCACACTTGACGTTACTAAATCCTATAAAAACACAGCCACACTTGACGTTACTAAAACCTATAAAAACACAGCCACACTTGACGTTACTAAAACCTATAAAAACACAGCCACACTTGACGTTACTAAAACCTATAAAAACACAGCCACACTTGAAATTACTAACGCCTATACAAAACACCTACACTTGACATTACTAACACCCATAGAAAACACTCATACTTGAGGTTGCTAACACCAATAGAAAACACCCGTACATGAGGTTGCTAACACTAATGAAAAACACCTATACTTGAAGTTACCAACACCCATATAGAACACTCATACTTGAAATTACTAACACCCATATAAAACTTTCATACTTGAGGTTGCTAACACCCACACTTGGGGATTCCTAAAACGTAATGTAGCTAGCTGACACAAGGCAGATTCCAGAAGTGTCTACATGGATCTAGCGTTTTCCAGATAACTCCGAACTGATTGAACCAGGTCTGACATTTTCACCCTTTAAAAACTCTAATCTTTTCGTCGGGGCGTCTTATTTAATCCTAGTTCGCTTTTATGTAAATTATTCCGGTTACGTCGAGCTTACCGTTTGTAGCCGCTACCTGTTCACCTTCCCTTCTTCATCTCTGCCCCCCTCCCCCTTTCTGGAGTTAACGTCTTCCAAATTATTTGCAATACTTTTTTTTTTTCAACCGCATTCTCCGAACTCTGCTGAGATGTGTTTCCAATTGTTCGCTTCCTTTCTGTTGTGCAGTTGAGCAGAAGTGAGCAGAAGTGCTCTTGTGTAATTTTGTCACCTGACACGTGATTGTGTTTGTTGTTTGAAGCTTTTCTCACCCTTCTTTATTTAACAGATTTTATTGTAATCAAAATACTTCTCCTGAATCTGGTAATCTGGTAATCCTAGTTTCAGCATCATAGCAAACGGTTCACCCCATTGTTGCTCCGCTCCTGTGCCAACGAAAAACACTCGTAGCTCACAGTGTCACACCATGCACTCAACTCAGAAGCTGGGTGACGAAACTATATCCTTCCAGTCTACAAATGGAGCAAAAAATGCAACGGCCACCGCCTGGCAGAACTGCCACGGCATTTAAAAAAAAAAAAAAAAAAGTGGTCGTGCCTAGTGTCCACTGTGACTTGAAGCATTATGTGAGGGGTTAACAAATGGTCACCCCAGCAGTACCCTCACTATTAGCTGGGAAAGGGACTTAGGACATTACATCCACCAGCAGGCGTCGCCCCTACAACGACCTGACTGCCTTCGTTAACGACTGTTCACCCAACAGTCATGCAGTTCTTTGGCACGAAGAAGACACCTTGAACTTGGGTTTCGGAATGCCGACTTCCTACAAAATGTTTTTTTGTGTTTTGTTATCACAATCGACGTCACTGCACATTGGGCATACCCATGCGTGCGCAGTCCTCCGAAGCAGCAGCCACTCCAAATGATGTAGTGGTGGTGCTGCTGAAAGCGGGAGGAGTGGCTTAAGAATAGCAGGCAGCTATGCTTACTGGAAGAAATCTGGATGTGCAATGTCAAGGGATGTCAACTGTGGAATGTTTCTGAGTGACACAAAATGAAGACAATGAAAGACTTGGGAACTAGTAACAAAATCATGCCCAGCTCTGACCATCTACACAAAAGGTCACCTTTTATTGATGCTTGGTCAGGCTGGTCCACGTTGCTCAAGGTTACAGGGGTGTCCCGGTCTACTGCTGTAGACTGCACTCTCTCGTGGGACCTAGGCTCAGTGAGCGGGAAATGGGGTTAGGGTTAGGGCCAGTTGTACATGTTATGGAGTCGTTAGAAGCGCTTACATCCTGTAATACACAGCACGCATTGTCGCCAGTAGGAGCGTCGACCAAGATGACGTCCTGGCCACTTTCACTTGTGCGTCTGACAGGTTAAAGCGAAGACTAAACGTCCAATCCCAGTGTCCTAACCGGAATCCGTTAATGATAAGTGTGTAGGTGGGCGGAGATGGGCCTGAGTTTGTTACAAGTTCCAAGACATGTACGAACACAAATCTTATTTTGTCAAAATCAGAACAGCGCACACCACATAAATCAATGGAAGCGGGAGAAAATTATTGCTTAGAAGTAAACCAACGTTGACATTATTGCTGCCAATCGTGGTCAACTATCTCTGAAAGGAAAATAAATCAGTTGAAGCTACCGAAGTGTACTCGTAGTTTTACAGAAGAAAATAAGAAACATTGCGATGAGTTGAAAGGAGTTACTGTGAAGACTTGCAGACGATTTAGTGTGGAGGCAGCCACTGTGAACTGTTTCTGCTGTATCTGGATGCAAGGATGTTGCGTCATGCTAATTGGGTGCGGAATCTGAAAATTGCTGCTGTTGCCCCTCGGTCTGTAAATTTAAATTGTTTCTAGGTGTGGTCTCGATATTGCTACAAACTTTCTATGGTATCTCAACTGCAGTAATACTTATATACCCTATGTGGTGAGCCTGTAGCAACAATATTGCTGAATGGGTTGAAGTGATAGTCAGGCATCTAGGATAATTATGTCAGATTAATGTACACGTGCCGATTCTAGTTAGAGGGTGGGTTAAACTTCCAGGGATATGTTACTCGTACTTGTGATGACTGTCTGGTCAACATAAATGTCATTTATTGTCCTGACGTACCTGTGATGACTGTCTGGAGTCAACATAAGTGTCATTTATTGTCCTGACGTTCGTGTGATGACTGTCTGGGGTCAACATAAATGTCATTTATTGTCCTGACGTACCTGTGATGACTGTCTGGGGTCAAAATAAATGTCATTTATTGTCATGAAGTACGTGTGATGACTGTCTGGAGTCAACATAAATGTTGTTTATTGTCCTGACGTACCTGTGATGACTGTCTGGAGTCAACATAAATGTCATTTATTGTCATGAAGTACGTGTGATGACTGTCTGGGGTCAACATAAATGTCATTTATTGTCCCGACGTACCTGTGATTACTGTCTGGGGTCAACATAAATGTCATTTATTGTCCTGACGTACGTGTGATGACTGTCTGGTCAACATAAATGTCATTTATTGTCATGAAGTACGTGTGATGACTGTCTGGAGTCAACATAAATGTTGTTTATTGTCCTGACGTACCTGTGATGACTGTCTGGAGTCAACATAAATGTCCTTTATTGTCATGACGTACCTGTGATGACTGTCTGGGGTCAACATAAATGTCATTTATTGTCCCGACGTACCTGTGATGACTGTCTGGGGTCAACATAAATGTCATTTATTGTCCTGACGTACGTGTGATGACTGTCTGGTCAACATAAATGTCATTTATTGTCATGACGTACTTGTGATGACTGTCTGGTCAACATAAATGTCATTTATTGTCATGACGTACTTGTGATGACTGTCTGGAGTCAACATAAATGTCATTTATTGTCATGACGTACCTGTGATGTCGGTCTGAAGTCAACATAAGTGTCATTTATTGTCATGACGTACGTGTGATGACTGTCTAGAGTCAACATAAGTGTTGTTTATTGTCATGACGTACGTGTGATGACTGTCTAGAGTCAACATAAGTGTTGTTTATTGTCATGACGTACGTGTGATGACTGTCTAGAGTCAACATAAGTGTTGTTTATTGTCATGACGTACGTGTGATGACTGTCTAGAGTCAACATAAGTGTTGTTTATTGTCATGACGTACGTGTGATGACTGTCTAGAGTCAACATAAGTGTTGTTTATTGTAGATGACACAATTTTCAACATGGCATGACACTCATAGTTATGTTACTACTAAAACACAAATGACACATTGTGTTCATTTACTTTTGTTATTGTTTCTCCTACTTTGCGTTTGGTTTGCTCAGGTCAGATTGTCATTTTGTGGAATGTGTCTGTGAACTCGCATGTCAGGAAGAGTTTGGAAGCAACAGAGATGTGGTTTCTGAGACGAATGTTAACGAATACCTTGGACGGCCACAGTAACTAACAACGACTGGTTGAAAGAGGCTAATGAACAATAAGAAAGAGACAAACACTGTTCTTTGTCCACATAATGAGAAGAGGGACATTGGAGATCATCATGACATCTAAAAAGATCAGTAGAAAAAGGGGGTAGAGGCAGACCAAGAGAGATGATGCTGGAAGGGCTGAAACGATGGCATGGAAGAATAGAACTATTCCAGGTAACCAGGGATTGTGATCTGTGGAGACACATGAGCGCCTACGTCAGTTGGCGGGGCACATGATGATGATGATTTTTTTTTCGAGTCTGCTAGGGGGCTCTTATAAATGTTTACTGCTGATATGTTCTCTCATCAATTTTGTCTATTTCTTTTTTGATAAGGGAGTTGATTGATAACTTCTGCCAATAAACAGCGCTCATTTGTGTCTACACAGTTCAGAGTGTCAAACTGCGTGACGGTATGTCGTATGAGGACGAGGTGGTCAAACTAGTGCTAGACAACTACAAGCGGCGGACCACATACGGGAGACCGGTGCTGAAGTACAAGGACACGCTAACGGTTCAGTTCGCCATACAGCTGCAGCAGATCATGGGCCTCAATGAGCAGGATGAAGTGCTCACTCTCAACATCTGGGATCAGCTGGTAGGCCCACGTGTGTGTCACGTGTGTGTTTGTGGTTTGATTGATTTAGTTCTAAGTCCATCAGAACAGTGCTTTTGAAAATGTCGACAATGAAAAATTTAAATTACGGGTGTAAATATATTGTCACTGAATGAATGAATAAATGATTCAAGAATTGACATCACTGCATTTGGGACATACCCACATGTGCTACGTCCCCTTCTTCAGCAGCCAACGATGAGTTGACATGCTAATAGTACCAGTAGCAAACTGATTAAAAGTATTCCTTTGTTTCCCCTCTCAGTGTTGAATATCTTCCATAACCTTAGTATATTGACAGTTTGATACCTAAATCACAGAATAGAATAAACTGACCCAGGGATACCTAAATCACAGAATAGAATATACTGACCCAGGGATACCTAAATAACAGATTGGATTACATTGACCCAGGTTATTTAAATCACTGATTTGAATATATTGACTGATGGATACATAAACAACATATTGGAGTATATTGATCCAAAGTTAACTAACATACTGGAATATATTGACCCATGGTTATCTAAATAACATACTGGAATATATTGACCCATGGTTATCTAAATAACATACTGGAATATATTGACCCATGGTTATCTAGATAACATACTGGAATATATTGACCCATGGTTATCTAAATAACATACTGGAATATATTGACCCATGGTTATCTAAATAACATACTGGAATATATTGACCCATGGTTATCTAAATAACATACTGGAATATATTGACCCATGGTTATCTAGATAACATACTGGAATATATTGACCCATGGTTATCTAAATAACATACTGGAATATATTGACCCATGTTATCTAAATAACATACTGGAATATATTGACCCATGGTTATCCAAATAACATACTGGAATATATTGACCCATGGTTATCTAAATAATATACTGGAATATATTGACCCATGGTTATCTAAATAACATACTGGAATATATTGACCCATGGTTATCTAAATAACATACTGGAATATATTGACCCAGGTTATCTAAATAACATACTGGAATATATTGACCCATGGTTATCTAGATAACATATTTAAATAAATTGACCTAGGGTTATCTAAATAACATACTGGAATATATTGACCCAGTGTTATCAAAATCACGACTTGGAAATTATTAAGGATGAAAAACGTTAATAACCAGTCTGAATTTATTGATTACTAAATATCCCAATCTCTGAATGGAATGTTCACCTATCTAATCCCAATCCTCGAGTACATTTGTCTTCTTCTGCCCTTGATCCCCCAATGGAGCATACGCCCTCAGCCAGGTCATGCCAAGGTGTTATATCCATTGCTATCGCATGCGACTGCCCTCATATGCTTACCATAACTCTAAACTTCATTCTCTTGCTCCCACTTGCGTGCGTTCTATAGTCTGCCTTTACTTGTGTGCCCAAGTGGATTGCAGACTAAAGCTTTTACAGCTATAATGTTCCCATGTGTTCTCAACGTGTATCCGATCCAACACATGCAGTCTTTCTTCCCTTGTTGATTCAGTGCCATTTGTTTAGTTCTGTCATACAGCTAAGGCTTAGTGATAATATTATACCAATTAAATCCCTTTCTTCTTCTTCTTCTTCGCGTTCACCTGCTGTATACTCTGGCGGAAAGTTCTTGTTGTTTATCCACTTCTGGACTGCAGTCCTGTTTCAGAACCTGTGTTGTATGTGCATCCGTTTTACAGATCAGACTTATTTGTATGCAGACTGCTGGTTCAGTCTCTCATGCAGATGCACTCCGACTTTGAAGAAAGCTCCGAGTTAGTGGACTCTTACGACATGCTTTTGCTGCACCTTTACGAATACAGATGGAGGATCAGTCGCACCTCGAGATAAATACGAAGACAATTTTTAGCACGCTGCGGTTGGCATTTTATGCAGTATGATACACTTTGAGTGTAAAACAAGGAAAAAACTCTTTTCGACAATGGCAAGGAAAAGAAAGAAGAAGAAGAAGAAGAAGAAGAGGAAGGGGAGGAAGAGGAAGAAGAAGAAGAAGAAAATAATAATAATAATAATAATAATAATAATAATAATAACAATAATAATAAGAAGAAGAAGACAAAGAAAAAAAGAAAGAAAGAAAGAAAGAAAGAAGAAGAAGAAGAAGAAGAAGAAGAAGAAGAAGAAGAAGAAGAAGAAGAAGAAGAAGAAGAAGAAGAAGAAGAAGAAGAAGAAGAAGAAGAAGAAAAATAAGAAGAAGAAGAATGACAGTAAAAGCGGGGAAAACAATTAAGAATAAAAAGAAACTAAGAAAAGCAGAATAAAAAAATGGTTTTATGTTACCGTTGCAGCTGCAACACCTGCTGAAATATAAATAGCATAAAAATCTTATAAACTTTTACTGTGAGTATAAACACACTGGAAGTTTTTTTTTGGTACAGTTCGAAAAACGTTTTCAACGTTCGTAAACTGCTGGAAATAAACAACTTCTTTCTGTACTCTCTGCAGTTAGGAGCACAGGCCGCAGTTTTGGTCTCAGATCAGATTTCAATAGTCATTTTACTGCAAGTTAGATCTAGCTGGTAAACAGTGCCACCTTTCCCATGGATTGTAAACCACGGTGTTTATGTTACTCAACGGGAAGCAGACGGACACCGCGATGTTTGTGTCGTAGAAGTTACTGAACGTAAAGCAAACGGACACCGCGGTGTTTGTGTCGTAGAAGTTACTCAACGTGAAGCAGACGGACACCGCGGTGTTTGTGTCGTAGAAGTTACTCAACGTGAAGCAGACGGACACCGCGGTGTTTTTGTCATCGAAGTTACTCAACGTGAAGCAGACGGACACCGGGGTGTTTATGTCGTAGAAATTACTGAACGTTAGTCAGATGGGAAATGCCAGTGGTGCGTAAACATAATCAGATCTAACGGTCTTTCTCTGTCTCTCTATCTCTCTTACTCTCTCTCTCTCTCTCTCTCTCTCTCACTCATATGAACGCACACATACACACACACACACACATACTTTAAACACTACTATAGTGCCCAAGAAGACGAGAAGAGGGAGAAAAATAAAGTGCTAAAGTGCAGAATTTATCTGACTAGATTAAACAGGCCTTATGCATGAAACCATGAAGTCCATTGCATCTGACCGTGAAGGATGGAAGGAGCTGATCAGACAGGCAACCGCAGCTGGTGACCCAAGGACAGAAAATGTTTCGGGAAGATGAGGATGGTGATGATGAAGCAGAAAACAACCGTCGATATTTAGAAGCGAGACAAAAACGTCCAACTGATCCGTGATTTTGCTGATTGTATTAGACTGCAAAACGTCACACTAGCGGCACAGCACCGGATGATGGTGCCGGCATAGTATTTTCTCTGAACTAGCGGATTTGTCCTAGATACTCAAATATCAATGTCATGGCGCTAAAGTAGTGAGTGAGGTCAGGTGTCTGGTGCTGTGACGCTCCTTTTTACTGTCATTTATTTCAGGGGTGAATTCTTGTCAGAGATGCCGGGGGTAGTCACTGCAGTTTTGTAGCCTCGTGCTTTGTGGAGTCCTTATGAGGTCAATCAGTTTATGAGGCAGGCGGGAGTGGGGGGGGGGGGAGGGGGGTGCAGATCAAGCCAATTAGGGATGAATAAATGAATCAAGAATTGACATGACTGCACTTGGGACATTCTCAACATGGGACATTCCCACACGTTCGCCATCTCAACTTCGGTAACCAACAAAGAGTTGACATGTTAATTGTACCAGTTGCAACTTGACTGGAAAGTCCACTTATATTACCCCTCAATGTTGAATATCTTACAGAATCTCTAAACAACACCCACGCCCGTTGAATTATCCTTTCAGTGTATCACTTCTTAGTCTGTTCTTTTGTTCCCAGAGAACATTTCCTCCGTCCGCTTTATCATAAAGTAGCTAATTGCCCAGAGAGGAGGCAGCAGTCAATCAGCCTGCTCGCTGCATCGCACACCTAAATGTCATGGACAGAAAAACTATGATATACTTTTGACCTGAATCGCATCAAGTGAGGCAAGTCATTCTGCATGCAGGACCCCAGGTTCATTTTCCAATGTGGGATAAATTCGTAACTGAAGAATGTGATAATTTGAACACATTTAAACAGCTTTCGCCCTCACATTCCAGTGCAGTTGCTGATACTTGTTTTAGGCATTATTGACTTGGGAGCGGTGACTAACTTTAAAAGTTCCATTCAGTGATGGGGATTCAAAGCTCGATATCCGCTGTTCCACCTGGATTCCATTCCTGGAGTGAACACACATCTACATGTGTTTATGGCGACCCCAGTGAACATGCTCCTGCTTATCCTTGGATCACCAGGCGCGCCATACGGAAGCCAGTCATCGATGTGGAGTGAGAACTGCTAGCCCACGACCTGCTCTTAGTTGTAGAACAGCTACAATCTATCCGCATTCAGCGTTACAGATCGCTCGCTCTTGATTTTGTTTCCTTTCTGGAATGTTTATTTGTCAATTTGCAAAACTGAAACATAGGAAACGCAGGTAAACTTGGCCACTTGGAGTTTTGTAAGTTTGTTTGGTGGGTGGAGAAATGTGGGGTAATGGGGCGAGCTAAATTAGCCTAACTTGTGGATAGATAGAGAAATGGGGGGGGGGGGAGGAAGGGGGGGGGGTGAGTCTAAGAAAATGTCAGAATAATAAGCCTATTCTATGTTCTTCGACAACCTAGAGGCTAAACAGCTTGAAGAACCTATGGCAGAGCACTTGCCAGCACTTTAAAGTTCTGAGATCATACATCTTTCTAGTGGCAACTTAATGGATATGGTTCGTGGGCTCTCAATCAGTCTTTAAAGAAAAATTTCGGACCATTTGTTTTTTAAATAAACTGAAATGCTACAGAAACATTCTTACAATACAGTCGACGATAAAGAAGACAATTATCGACATCCCGCATTAACTTAAAGGAGAATTGGCTCATAAAAAGTATCCTCTCCTGAAAGCTGATGTATTTTAGGCCTGTCAAGCGCCATGATGATCCAAAGACAACGGCTGAGCCCCGTGAAGGTCGATAGAGGACATTGAAGATGCATTGACCATAAAAGCACACAGGGCTGAAGAATTGGCTAGAGAAATAGATACTTTCAGGTTCCCTGGCGAGAACGAGGTTCTCTAAAGAACATGCTAATCGCTTCAACCAATGATTGATGTTACTTAAGTGGGTTATCACCTTGTCATCTGCTTATAAGATAAGGGTAACCACAGCCCGATTAAAAATTGCGTTTACTTAGAGTAGGTGTCCATGCAGGAACTGTCCCCAGCAATAATCTATCACAGCAAATCGTTGCCCTCGGTCAGCATGTCCAGCAGGAATAGATGCACCTACTCTCATAGAAGTGACCGCTAATGTCGTGGGTTCAGACCCTGATGGAGCCACCCCTTTTTTCAGAAAAGTCCTTGGATCCCAAGTTCTAAGTCATTGCCAGAAACTAAAGTCCCATGTCTCAGTCTGTGGCGTGATTGCGAGTTGTCTTGTCTGTGTGAATTCTCGTTTTTATCGGACATGTCATTCAAAATGTATCGCAGTCTGAGAGAGTGGCGGCGATCACCTGAATTTCACAGTGAGTTGTTTTTTTCTATTTGATTGAGTGTAAGACGGAATAGAATATGACCTTACACTGTGGGTGAGGGACTTTACCTGAAATAGCATCCTAGATGAGCTACAGTGCCAGGGCGCTATACACTAGGTATCCTTCAGTGCCAGGGCGCTATACACTAGGTATCCTACAGTGCCAGGGCGCTATACACTAGGTATCCTGCAGTGCCAGGGCGCTATGCACTAGGTATCCTTCAGTGCCAGGGCGCTATACACTAGGTATCATACAGTGCCAAGGCACCATACACTAGATATCCTGCAGTGAAAGGGCGCTATACACTAGGTATCCTACAGTGCCAGGGCACCATACACTAGGTATCCTACAGTGCCAGGGCAACATACACTAGGTATCCTTCAGTGACAGGGCAACATACACTAGGTATCCTACAGTGCCAGGACACCATACACTAGGTATTCTACAGTGCCAGGGCAACATACACTAGGTATCCTACAGTGCCAGGGCAACATACACTAGGTATCCTACAGTGCCAGGGCAACATACACTAGGTATCCTACAGTGCCAGGGCAACATACACTAGGTATCCTACAGTGCCAGGGCAACATACACTAGGTATCCTACAGTGCCAGGGCAACATACACTAGGTATCCTACAGTGCCAGGGCAACATACACTAGGTATCCTACAGTGCCAGAGCACCATACACTAGGTATCCTACAGTGCCAGGGCACCATACACTATGTATCCTACAGTGCCAGGGCACCATACACTAGGTATCCTACAGTGCCAGGGCACCATACACTGGGTATCCTACAGTGCCAGGGCACCATGCACTAGGTATCCTACAGTGCCAAGGCACCATGCACTAGGTATCCTACAGTGCCAGGGCGCTATACCTTTGATATGTCACAGTGCCGGGGCGCCATACCCTAAATATGTCACAGCTGGTATACGTCAAGTGTTGAGCACGTAACCGCTGTTTGTTGTCAACATGAACTGACTCCACTGGCGCCAGGCACTGACCGGATTCTGATCTCCTGTTTTCAGCAGTGGACGGACTACAACATCAACTGGAACGAATCGGAATATGGCGATGTCCAGTCTGTGAGGCTTCCATGCAACAAGCTCTGGATGCCGGACATTAAACTGACCAATTAGTGAGTATTGACCTGCTGCCCCGTGTTGTGCATATTGTAACTTCTGTGAGTGCATGCTGTTGTTGTTGTCCTCGTAACTGTCATGTAATGGTCACGTTCTGTGATCGGTTCATGCTCGTTAGATGTTTACTGAAGATATTCCGGCAGACATGTTAGAAACGACAGTACAGATAGCTTGTGACAGGCTGGTCAGTGTCGTGGTAACGGTAGTTCCTTGGTGGCAGGCAAGAGAGAAGACACCATACGGTCTGTCTAAAAGGTAACATAGGGGCACGATACTAATTTATCTCCCTCCCACACACACATACACACACACACAACCCGTTAGAGTGTCACAGACTGTGGCAAGTCACTTGGTGGTGATAATGATGACACAGACAATATTCTGCTCGCTTTCCCTAAGATGGTATATATACCCAAAAAAAAAAAAAAATGAAAGATAAACAGTTTGTGTCTGTTCCAATGTAACGATAAAAATAAGCAGACAGCAGTGTACCAGTAATTACAATCGACATTCCTTAGTCATTTGTCCAGTTTGATGACCGCAACCCAGCCATTTTCGTTAGCCAATAGGTAGCTTTGATCTTTCTTCGAGGAATCGATCTGTTGTCGGGAAATCTGGAGTCTCGGCTGCCAAGATTGGGGCGAGCCACAGCCCCCCCCCCTCCCCCACTCCTCCCCCTCAACAGTGAACGTGTTTGACCAATACTTTTAGATTTTCAGAGGTGGCTGAAGAAACTGTGGTCAGAAATTTGTAGTCTACCTTCTTATATTGAAGGGTTCGCTTCTCTTACTGGAGATTCACGTTGTCATACTGAAGGTTTCACTATGACACTGAAGGGTTAACATTGTGCTCACATCCGGCCTGCTTTTTTTTTTTTGCCCTCTTCGTGGTCTGTATATCATCTTGTGTTGGTTGGCTTTAAAAAAAAAAACATTGCTTTTATCCGCGATATTATTATTAGTATAATTTAAATTTTAAGTTACAATTGTATTCTCTGCGTAGCTACGGTAGACACTTGCTTCTCCACTCTGTCAACTCCGTACAGTTGTATTCTTTAGGTAGCTACGGTAGACACTTGCTTCTCCACTCTGTCAACTCCGTACAGTTGTATTCTCTAGGTAGCTACGGTAGACACTTGCTTCTCCACTCTGTCAACTCCGTACAGTTGTATTCTCTAGTAGCTACGGTAGACACTTGCTTCTCCAGTCAACTCAGCACAGTTGTATTCTCTAGGTAGCAACGGTTAACACTAGCTTCTTCACTTAATCAACTCAGCACAGTTGTATTGCCCGGCTCTCTAGCGTAGTTGGCTAAACCGGATTGCGCCGTGACCGGGTGACGAACTCCTTGTGGTCCAGGTTCACTCCCTGGGGTAGGCAGAAAAGCCACATTTCTCCCAGTTTTACGGTATTTACAATGGAATCAAGGCCGAAAGGTTGCAATACATAATACCGAGCCTAAGGGTTAACAACTCCTGGCTTTTGGATACTAAAACAAACAAACAAACAGCACAGTTGTATTCTCTAAGTAGCTACGGTTGACGCTAGCTTCTCCACTCAATCAAGTCCACAAAATTGTATGTTCTATTTGGCTATTGTAGACACTAGCTTCTCCACTCAATCAACTCAGCACAGTTGTATTCTCTAGTTGGCTATTGTAGACACTAGCTTCTCCATTCAATCAACTCAGCATAGTTGTATTCTCTAAGTACGTATGGTTGACACTAGCCTCTCCACTTAGCCAACTCCGCACGGTTGTATTCTGTAAGTAGCTACGTTTGACACTAGCTTCTCTACTCAATCAACTCAGTACAGTTGGATTCTGTAGGTAGCTACGTTTGAAACTAGCTTCTCCACTCAATCAACTCAGTACAATTAAATCAATTCAAGTAGATAGGGTTGATAAAGGGGCTAGCAAACAATAGAAATGATTGATCGGATTTGTTTGAGCGCCTATGCTCCACCAGCAAATGATCGAAGAAGAAGAAGACGACTTCATTACAGTTTTACGTCTGAAAATAAAAACGGTTACAGTAATGTGAGCAACTATCGAAGCAATGTTTTTTTTAACGAAAGAAATGAAGTTAATTGATGTCTCAGGAAATATATACTCTTGGCAGAAGCTCGTGTTGCCACTCAGGTGAGAGAAACGACATATTGCAGGCAAGCCAGGTGCGTTTGAACACAAGAACAGGCTGAGCACTAGGCATATCGTCTCATTAAGCTGAAGTTTAAACGTACCCGAGGCTGGCTGGATGAAAGGAATCTCCCACTGCCCTTAAATTTTACACACAGGAAGGCTGTGATTTGACCACTATGAACGCTTGTGTGTGCCGTATTTTGCAAGTGCCTGTCCACTCGGAGGTCTTGGTTCAAATCCCCATCAGGACGAATGTTAATAATACATAGGGATCCCTTCCCGTGTGGGTTCCTGTGTCCCATTGTGGAGGAAGCAAGAAAAGAGCCACTGCCTTCCCTACAAGTATGTCGTAAGAGCTGACTAATTAGGCGCTTCCTTCAGAATCGGGGTGTATCTGTGTGAGAGGTAAGGAACCAACAGTCTGCTTACAAAGATCTGTTAAATGAATGTACACGGAAAACGCAGGTCCTGGTACAGAGCCAAAGTCCAGAAATGGACGAACACCAAGGTCTTTCTGCCAGGGTTTACAGCCGGTAAACGCAAACGACTACGTTTCCAACGTCCACTCAGCCTAAATGATTACCACCAAATGTCATTGGAAGTAAAGGCGACCGACAAAACGCTGACCACATCATCCACCAAGAACCGATTGGTCTGTAAGATAGTGGTCTAGCCCTATATGCCAAGTAGTCCCGAAGGCGGGGAATAGGTCTTTTAGTCTACGTCATCAAACTAACAGCAGCACATCTAAACGTCCTGAAAGCAAAAAAAGTATCATTGACTGTAAATGATAAACTACTTACGTATCAATGACTGTAAATTATACACAACGCATGTATCATTGACTGAGAATAATACACCACCGATGTATCATTGACTTTAAATGATACATCACTCATGAATTGTTGCCTGGTAATGATACACAACTCATGTATCATTGAATGTGAATGATACACCACTAATGTATCATTGACTGTGAATGACACACCACCCATGTTTCATTGACTGAATGATACACCACTCAGGTATCATTGACTGTGAATGATTCACCACTCATGTTTCATTGAGTGTGAATGACTCACCACTCAGGTATCATTGACTGTGAATGATACACCACTCATGTATCACCGACTGTGAATGATACACCACTCATGCACCATTGACTGTGAATGATACACCACTCACGTATCATTGACTGTAAATGATACACCACCCATAAATAATTATGAATGATACACCACTCAAGTATCATTGACTGTGAATGATACATCACTCATATATAATCGACTGTGAATGATACATCACTACTGTATCATTGATTGTGAAGGATACACCACTCATGTATCAGCCCCCAAGGCGGCAGAAATATGTCAGGAGAAAAACAAAACACAATATAATTACAATGAATCATTAGAAGCGAAAGTGAGTTGTTTCAGCAGTGAAGACTAAACCTGCAAAGTTCACAACAGTTCGCCCTCAATGGCTAAAAATCTCATACAACAAATGTGGATCACACTGCCGAATACACTTGAAGCCAAGAAGCCGTTAGGCTGGCAAAGGAATGTGGGATATTACCTCAGCCTGGTCGAATAACTGTGATAAGGTTGTGAGTTGTGTAAGAAGCGCTAATGTATACAAATGGCAATCAGAGCATCCAGGGGCTCAGAAAGATTTTGCCCGCTATGACTCCGCAATGAGGATTCACCAGCAAGTGAAACAACATAGTTAACATTTCAGACACAGCTTCTGAAAGCGTGGCCTGTGCCGTCACGTGACACCGACGCGAGATAGCACCTAATAAAAACAATAGACACACCGGGAGTCTACTGTAAGTGTCTCACCTGTGCTTTATCAAGGGAAGATGCGTTTAATCGTTAATTGGTCTTAGGTATCAAGATCCTAAGGGAAGTGCTAACAGGTTTTGAGCTGTTTTACCTGTTGTGTGGAGTTTGTATCTTTATATTCTACTTCTGAGAGCATCTGTCCATCTTTTTGAATTGTCGTTTGCTAGTTCTGTGTTCTTCTTCTCTTTGTTTGTTACAGATATATTTTGGGGGTAGTCGAGTTTATTAGCACTGTTGTTTAAACTGGCCGCCGCTGTGATGTAGTGGCTAGACGCTCGTCTGCGGATGTCGGGGTCGCGGGTTCAGGTCTTGACGGAATCGGACTTAAACAAAATTGGCGGTGGCTCCCAGGCCGACCCGGCCTTAAATGGGTATCAGGTAAAGTCACGGGAAGTAAAAGTGGCTGGCATGATGTTGACTATATCACCCACCGTGTACCGGTTTGTGTGTAAATTATAGGTCTAGCCCTATACGCCCAATACCCCTGGAGACGTGGAAAAGAGTCTCTTACTTGAGTTTTTGTTTACAATGTTGTTATATTGTTTATTAAACAAATGCATGAGGAAGTTGATGAACGTTAAACGGTTGCATTGAAGAAAGCTGTTGAAACAACGGAAGTGTCCAGACCAATTCAGTTGTGATACAAAGATGACGTGACGACTATACTGGCCACAAGATCAAATACTCATCATCATAAACAATAAGAAGTCAAGGGTCTGCAAAAAACACTGACGTTCAAGAGAAATCCCAAAGAGAACGTTGACAAGAGAGGCCAATAGGTGCTAAAATGGATTCCATCGATGATTTTGAGAGGGTTTTACACGGTACAAGGTTATAGAGGTCCAAACTGCGAGTCCTGTGTCAGGCATAATTGGGGCCGAACTCAGGCACTTTGGTGCCCTTTGCATATAAAAGACCCCCTTTCCGTCTCCATAACGGTCTTAAGGACATTATGGGCCCCTGGGAAAACCAGGGTGCTGGGACCCCTACGACAGCCATTCTCAGGAATGAAA